AAGTGGTCATCGACTCGTCGGTGTCAGCGAATTGTCGTTCACTCATGTGCTGATCGCTTGCCTTCCATTTCAATTGATGCGGTTGTGGTAATGGAGTGACAGCCGAACTATAGCTCCCGTTCGGGTGGATGTACTGACAGTCGCGTGAATGACATTTCGCACCGAAACGACACACCTATTCATTCAGACAACAGTATATCGTAATTGTCTTAAATCGGGTTTAGATTGTCTTTAAAATATACCTTTGGATGAATGAAAGGGCAGTTCATATTCTTGCAATTGGACTGATATTTGCAATATTTACCAGAATTGGGGGGCAATGGGTTTGTCGGGTATTGAGGCACAGGAGGGAATTGAGGGACAGCGATCTTGCGTTTACTGGCGTGAGTGAAGGGACAGTCCCTTCGCGAACACATGGCGTCAAACTTACAGTTCGGATGAACGTATAGACATTTGTCACCGAAACGACAGTTTGGAAACGTTCTACAATTACATCCATTTAAATACCAAATTAATATTAATAATAAAATCTAAATCATGATAATATGTGGACAGACTTGCAGGGAGTGGTCGGGTGTTGAAACTCGCAATGGTTGCCATTTTTACAATTGGGCCAAAAACGACATCTTTCATTAGACTTATTAGCGCTTAAATCATCGTTTTCTAAGTCGTTGTCAACCATTTCGTCGTTTTCTGCAAACTCTGTGTCCATCTCCTCGTTCAGCAGTAAGTGGTCGTCAACTAATACATCACATTTGTTACAACTTTATAAGCAAAGCATATCGTAAGTAATCATTACTTTCACTGTTTTGCGAATACTTGTTGTGGTCGACGCCATCCAATGTTACCACAAATTGTGGATTCAATTCAGTCTTCTTCACATATCTACTAGTTTTGAGCGATTCGTCCGAATCTTCAGTTTTGTCTGAGTCTATAAATAACACAAATGGTTATAAATCTACAAAATTTATAAATATTTGGTAAAAGTTTAAAATTAAAGTATAGCACAAGTAATAGTAATACCGTTTTTAACGACATTTAAATAGTTTCTCAAATCTTGCGGATCCAAAGATTGTTCGACAACTTCTTCATTGGAAACAATCGGGTGTTTCTCTGCGAGACGTTTCTTGACGGGAGTGATAGGAGTGGGCGTATACTCCATCTCTTCGATGGCTCTCTTCCGTGTGGACACGTGAGCCTCTCTCATGGCTC